GTAACAAATCAAATCAAATCAAATCAAAGCCCTGTTGTTGTTTCACACCGGTTGGTCACAGTGGCGGGAGGAGTCTAGCTGGCCTAGACGAATGTAACAGAGCAAAGAAAAAAAAAAGGGTTTTGCGACGCGCACTCTCTCAAAACCGCTCTGTTTGTATTTCTGCAGCGTGATTTCGGTTTGATTCACAGTATGTTGGGTACCTTCCACACTGGGGGGCTAGTCTGAAGTTAGCCCGTGTTGTTGGTCACACTGGTTGGTCTCAGTGGCGGGAGGAGTCTAGCCGGCCTAGAAGAATGTAACAATGCAAAGCAAAGCAAAGCAAAGCGCATTTTTATGAAACCGATTGGTCACAGTGACAAGAGGAGTCTAGCTGGCCTAGACAATTGAGGTCAATGGGGTCGGGGATTTGAAACATTTTTTGGCGCGGACAGTCTGACAAACTGGAACGCAGTGCTGAGCGAGGCGCCTGTCCTTGCGCTCCAGAGGCTATTGCACTCTGTCATACCTGCACCCCTGAGCATTGATTGCCGTGCAGGTGCACAGCCATTGCAGCAGCAGCAGCAGCAGCACCAGCAGCACCAGCAGCACCAGCAGCAGCACCAGCAGCAGCACCAGCAGCAGCACCAGCAGCAGCACCAGCAGCAGCACCAGCAGCAGCACCAGCAGCAGCACCAGCAGCAGCAGCAGCAGCTGTGCTGCTGCCGGCTGCCGTAGGTAGGACTCTTCCAAACTGCGGCCACTCCGTGGGCGAGGCTATCGGGCGCAATGGGCGCCTGTGCACAATGGGCTCCGGGTGGGCTGGCAGTCCAGACAGATGCATATGGTTACAACTCAACACCACCGTACCACAGCCCTTCTGCTACCCAAGAATGGTAGGCCTGGTGCTGAGGGGCTAAGCGCGATGCGTGCGTGCTCAGATGTAGGTCAGATGAGACAAGCAGTGTATTTGAGTGTCCCGCCTTGCATAAATCTGAGCTTGCCTAGATCATGCAGCGCGGCCCTTACACCGCCGGCTGGGCCTCCGAATGTGTAAAGAGCAAAGCGGCGCAGGAGCCGGCAGTGAGGTCCGCTGGGGCGAGCGAGTCCCAGGGTTGACCTCGCCTTGACACCAGAAACAGCATGCAAGGCAGATAGCAAGCTTCCTTTTGTTGTTGAGTTTTGCGTTTCAAGCACGCCGCCGCGGCCGCCGCCAGGCCCAGAGCGCACAGCGCAGTGCAGCAGCAGCCACTCGGGCGCGGCCCCGCCGCCGCCGCCGCCGCCGCCGACGCCGCCTAGGGCTGCAAAGTAGTCCTGCAGCGCCCGCACCCCCCCCCCTCCGGCGCCTGGCCGTCGCTCTCAAACACCAGCCGTGCTCGCTTGAGCGGAGGGCCTCCCACGCCCGCGCCCGTCCCACGCGCGAGGCCAACGAAGGCCAGCAATTTCACGTGTTGAGCGAGCACCAGCGTGCCTGTCCCCACAAGCAAGGCGGCTTCTCACCGCTCGGCCTGCCCAAAAACAACACGCGCGTTGCTGCTATCCATCCCAAAGCCCAGGCACGCAGGCGGCGTCGCCGGAGCCGCCGCCGCTGGCCCGGTCGAGGAGTGGCGCCGGCTCACTGAGGCACACCTCGCATAGTCGCCCGAGCCGGCGTCCCTCGCGAGCCGTGTCGCAGCGGCCCCTTCCGGCAGCGGCGCGGGAACGCGAGCGTCCAAGCGGCACAGCACGACCTCTCGCAGGCCGCCCCGCACGCCGACGCCGCGCGGCCAGCCCGCCGCCCCAGCCGCTGCGGGCGCGCTCTCGGTCGCGGCGGCGATAGCCGCCTCCAGCGCTGACGCCGGCACCAGCACGGCGTCTCCAGCCCCCGCGCCGCCGCCGGCATTGACAGACGGCTGGCTGAGCATCGCGCCGCCGCCGGCCGCCGCTGGCCCCCGCGTCCCCCCATGGCCAGCCCTCGCCGCCATCGTCCGGCGCTGGCGACTAAACCGCCGTCGTGTTTGGCGACAATTCGCCCGCCCGGAGGTGAGGCTGCGGCACTTGACTCAAAGTTCTCTCATCTTTGCCACCGAGTGCCCGGATCATTGCACGCTGTACCTCTCTCAGTGTTTTCCCCGCCCGTGCCAGCCTTGTCAGCCTTCGCCCCTTGCGTTGCGCCGCCGCCATAATTGCCACCGCGGTGACCGCTCTCGCCCCTGCCGCCGCTGCCAGCGGCGGTCGCACGCACCCTCATGAGGGTGGATCTGAGCCCAAGCATCCGCTGCCATGCGCGCCGGCTTAACCAGGCCCTAGCTCCAGCTGCACGCCACGCACCCTCATCCTGGCCCCTTGAAGGACTGCAGCACATACTGCAGACAGAGACGGATGCAGAGGGCACAAGTTGGGATTAGGATTAGGATTGTTACAAGATCCCGCGGTCGCCCGCTCCTTCAGCCATCCAGGCTCAT